TTTTCAAATCCTTACAACCCCTTTTTCGCTTTAAAAAGTAGCCTTTCTCAGGCTCTAGACTATCAGTGTATCAAATTTAATTAAATCAGTCCAGTAGTTTTTGCGTGAAAGAAGAACAGACAGACAGAGTAACTATCGCATTTATAATATTATAATAGTAAGGAGGTAACAACTAAGACATTAGCATAATCATTAAATGCTACTTAATTGTACTAATTAAATTAATTATTTCTAGATCATGAAATTGGCGTAACAGTGGAAAAACTACAACCCTTTATAGAAAGCAAAGATTTTGAAAACATGTCCATCGGTGGAGGTATAGACGAAGGAGTTTCCTATGAATCAGACAAAGTACTACTATTTTACCAAGATAAAGCGCTATTAGGTAATAAATATATGTAACACTAATGAGATATTACAATAGAACTAATTAACCACTAAAATCAATAGAATATAAAATCAATATAGCGTATCACCATCTCAAATGCCGGCAGGCAACGCATCCGCGGTTCCTCTGGTATTGCTGATGTCCATGTGCGTCGTTGATACCTCGGTATTCCCGCTGCTCGTTTGCCCCTTCTGTTATAAAAAAAAAATGTGGAAGTGTTCTTAATGTTTTTTCTCTTTGACAGTACTTGATGTTGACTGCTACGGAATAGAGACGCATGGATCACTTATGCCTGATTCGAACATTACAGCTATAGGAAAGGTATTTAACTAAGAAAACCTAAAATTACAACACCTGTTTTCTTATGAGTCAAACAAAAAAGTTTTTCTCATTCTGTTCGAAAAAAAAGACACAATACTTTTTGCAGATATCAATCTTTTTCAAACCTCGAAACGAATTATAGCAATGTTATTTGATCGCCTTAAAAACTTATAAGGTAATCGGCGTAGTAAAGAAAATCTTCATTTTCATCGTACATTGAAATTTGATAGAAATAATTTATCATTTTTGATATTTGTGTATTTACAGTGCGCGAAAGTGATCGAATCATTACAAGAGTATCGAGACGAGCAAATTGATTACATGAAGAAGTTGCAAGTCAGCAACACCGGCGACTTTACCAGCATCAACTTGAACAGATTACAGGTCAGTTGTAGATCCAATCTTCCCTTATAAACTATTATAGCTTAATTCAGTTTAATACCTAATGAAAAATTATATCAAAAGAATGTTACTATTACGTTAAAATCACATCACAAAGAATCTGTCGTTTTAGATTTTAGACTAAGAAAATGATTTATACCTTGAACTTCCAAACTATTATGGCCTTTTTGGTCCTAAATTATTTATGTTACATTTAAG